TCACCAGTGCGAATGACGTACGTGCAGCTAAGACCACCCCCACCCCCGTGCTGAGAGTACCACTCACGGACCTCCTGGGGTGAGGGAGTGTGCTGCTGGCCCTGGCCACCGCCAGTGCCTCCACGGCCACCACCACCGGTGCCACCTCCTCGACCACCCCAACCCCTGCCGCCGCCTCGTCCACCGCCACCCCAAGCGCCGCCTCCACTCCTGCCACCTCCCCCGCCGCCGCCGCCACCACCCCCACCGCTACCACTCGCCCCTCCAGCCGAGCCACCACCCCCACTGCCTCCACCGCCCCCACCGCCGCCTCCCCCGCCGTCACTGCTACCACCCTTGCCCCCTTTGCCCTTGCCGCTGCGGCGCCCGCTCGAGGCAGACGCAGCGCCGACCTTCTCAGCACCGAGAAGGTCGACAGCAGCAGCAGAGGCGACAGAGGGAAGAAGGGGGGAAGGAGAACACCCCTCAAAGAACGGGGTACGGGGGTCGCCACGAGAGGCACCTACAGCGACTATGCTAGTCTCAGCTGCAAGGAGCTCCTTCTCGAGGAGGGCAATGGTGAGTTCAGTGGGGCAACGAGCTAGGAAGGGGTCCCTGACAGCACGCAATGTGTCAGGGAGGCGGGTGACTAGGTGGTAGAGAGTGAGCCAGAGTGGAGGGGGGTGCGTGGCAAGGAACTCAGCAGGCATGGCGGCACGAAAGCGGGCTTCACTAGTACGGAGGTGCGTGATGAGGTCAGCGACTGTGTGAAAGGAGGACAGGTCGGGAAACAGGTAGGGGAGGGAGAGACGACCTAGTGCGGCAGAGGCAGGTGAGGAGTAGCGAGCAACGACAGCTGTGTACAGTGCCTGTGCAGTCTTGTGCTGCCCAAAGTCCTCGCGTTCGTCTATCGGCAGGGAGTTGCGAATGGCAAAGCGAGCGTGGGCATCACAAGTCTGCCACTGTGAGCGGGCAGTGCTGTAAGCAGTAGCTGCACGGGCAGTGACATGGCCTAAGGCGTGATCGTACAGTGAGATATCATCCTTGGCTGTGAGCTGTAGGTAGAGGTGCAGGTCATCAAGCCAGGTGTCAAACTTCACAGGGCAGCTTTCAGCATCGAACACGAGAACCTGTGGGCTAGCCATAAGAACAGTAGACTAGCAGCAGTAGCAGTAGCAGTAGCAGTAGCAGTAGCAGTAGCAGAAGTAGGTAGGACGAACCAGGTAGGGCAGGGCGGCGCGGCTCGGTGCAGCTCGGGTCGCGGCTCGGCTGGGTGGCGCGGCTCGGCTGGGTGGCGCGGCTCGGTTCAGGTAGGGCGGCGCGGCTCGGTGAGGGCTGCGCGGCTCGGTTCTGGTCGCGCGGCTCGGCTCGGGTCGCGCTGCTCGGCTCGGTCCTAGAGTGGCTCTGGCCGTCGCGGGCCGTTTGGGGCCGTAAAGGGAGGGCGCGGGGCCGTTCGGAGCTAGCGCGGGGCCGACGGGGGGCCTTAAGGGGCTAGCGCGGGGCCTGAAGGGGCCGTGGGAGGCTAGCGCGGGGCCGCACGGGGCCGTTTGGGGCTAGCGTGGGGCCGTTCGGGGGCCGTGAGAGGCTAGCGCGGGGCCGATGGGGGGCCTTAAGGGGCTAGCGCGGGGCCTGAAGGGGCCGTGAGAGGCTAGCGCGAGGCCGCATGGGGCCGTTCGGGGCTAGCGCGGGGCCGTTCGGGGGCCGTGAGAAGCTAGCGCGGGGCCGTCGGGAGGCCTTAAGGGGCTAGCGCAGGGCCTTAAGGGGCCGTGAGAGGCTAGCGCGGGGCCGACGGGGCCTCTAGGGAGGTGAGCGCGGGGCCGAAGAGGTCGCTAAGGGGCGACGCACGGGGCCGTGAGGGGCCTTAAGGGGCGACGCGCGAGGGCCTAAGGGGGCCTTAAGACCGAGGCGCTCTAGGCGCAGGCAGGTAGGTAGGTAGTGGTGGGCCCTTAAAAAAAAAATCGGTCCTAGCGAAGGACCTGCTCTGAAACCATATCAGAAGTACGAAACAGGAATGGATGAACTAGCAGTGAAATGAGTACAAGTACCTAACCCTAGAATTGTGTACCCCCTATAGGCTAACCCACTGTAGCCTAAACTAACACAACATATATAATGTTTGACAGTGCGAGCAGCACGGACAGGCGACGCAGGCTCACGACGCTCAGCAAGACCTCCAGTAGGACCAGTGTATTGAGAAGGAGCAGGCAGTGGGGAGACCGGCTGTAACTGTAACTGTGACGGGACAGGCTGTGGACACTCCAAGGGAGGAGGAGGACCAGTAGAAGGCGGGAGACCAAGAACCTGCTCAAGGAGCGGAACGAAGTACGGCCGAGGCCGCGCAGCGACTCCAGACACAGCAGGGACAGCACCAGTACCCCCAGTGGTAGCACCAGCGCTAGCAGCACCTCCAGCTCCAGTACCTCCAGTAGCACCAGTAGCACCCCCAGCAGGACCGCCTCCAGGACCGACAGCAGTAGCCTCGGCGCCAACACCCTCAGCAGCTCCAGCTCCAGTCGGACCACGAGAAGACGTAGTGGCTCCAGCTCCAGTAGTACCCGCAGGCCCAGCAGCTCTAGTACTCCCAGTACGAGAACCTCCGGGACCCGCGGCACCAGCACCGTCAGCAGCCGAAGAACCTCCAGCTCCAGCAGCACGCCTCCAGCGCCGGGCAATCCACTCGCGCACCTCCTGTGGAGAGAGTGGCTCCCGCCGAGACGAAGCACCCGGAGAACCTCCAGGCACAGCACCACCAGACGCCACACGAGCAGGCCCAGCTCCCTCAGCCTCCGCACCCCCAAGCTCAGCACCTCCAGGCGTAGCACCCCCAGGCTCAGCACCCCCAGTCGTAGCACCCCCAGGCTCAGCACCCCCAGGTGTAGCACGCCCAGGCTCAGCACCCCCAGACTCAGCACCCCCAGGCTCAGCACCCGCAGTCGTAGCACCCTCAGGCTCAGCACCCCCAGGCGTAGCACCCACACGCTCAGCACTCCCAGACACAGCACCCCCAGGCTCAGCACCCTCAGCAGCTCCAGAGTCACCAGCAACCTCCATAGGCTCAACTTCGTCTACGTGGGACACACCTGAAGGGGTAGGACCCTGAGAGGGAAGGGGGTCTACCGGGGGGGACCGGGCACAAGGAAGAGATGGTAGTAGGGGACCGACTAGTCAAACGTGACGTCCTGGGAGGACAAAACACGGCGAGAGGTGGGGTGGTAGAACTGCCACCATGGCGCGTCAGGGGGGGAGCCAATGAAGACGCAGGGAGCAGCATGAGGGGACAACTTGTCTGCAGACAAGTCGCGCACAAACGCCCGAGATCCCCAGACACCGAACCCAGATGCATCGCCAACCTTCCCCGTCCACAGCAAAGCTGGGGAGGTCTCCGACATGGAGACCCTGGGCTGAAGGTTGATCTGATGCGCCGCGTACCGAACCGCAAACAACCACAGAAAATGGGGGGCAGCCGCATGCATCATGGACGTACGGGCAACGTCCATGACCATGCCAATGCGGCGCTCAGCAATCTTATTTTGCTGTGGAGAGTCCGGAAGCGTGAAGGTCTGGCGGATGCCTCGTGCACGAAAGTAGGCTCGTAGAAGGCCAGAGGAGAACTCTCCGCCTCTGTCAGAGTGCAGACGCAGAACAGGAAAGTCCGTGCCGAAGCTCTGCCTTAGCTGGAGACGAGCTGCGCGGATCCAGTCGATCAACACCTCAGTGACGTCACCCTTGTTGCGCAAGGGGAAGACTGTGGTGTAATGCGAGTAGTCCTCAACCACCAGTAGGAAGTAGTGCTCGTAACACTGTCCACGGACGCGGGCCGGGCCCCACACGTCCATGTGAAGCGTTTACAGCGGGGCCTCTGTCGGAGTAAACTGGGAGGAGTGAGGGGCAGCCCGCTGCCGCCCCTTGACACAGGGGACGCAGGTAGGGGCAGGCCCCGGGGGAAGGGGAGGGAGGGTTCGGGGAAGACCAGAGACAAGGACACGGGAGGCCATGCCTCGGAGACGAAGCAGGGAGGGATGACCAAGGCGGTGGTGCCAGAGGAGAGTCTCGTGAGACAGGAGGCGACACGAGCAGGGGGCAGACTCAGGACCAGACCTGGACGCTGCAGCAAACACCTGACCCGACGCAGCTACATGACCAGACGCAGTGACTGGAGGAGACTCAGTGGTCAGTGTGTACAGGCTCGACCCCGGCCGATGTGTAAACGTGGCCAAGTTTCGGCCCGTCCGAGCGTCCGTGTAGTGGGTCACCCGCTGGCTCGCAGGAGTGAACTGGTGAACCCCCGCATCCTGTAGGTCAGCACCACTCACCAAGTTCGTAGAGAACGAGGGGAGGTAAAGACCAGACAGGGTGCCAGAGGGGGCCGCCGGACAGGGGAGGACAGTAGAGAAGTGAGCAAGGACAGGACCCCCAGAGGGGTCTGCCAGAGAGACTGCAACTGGCCGACCAAGCGGCGTGAGTGTGGTGCGGTCTCAAAAGAAGGAGCGAGAGGCCCTCGAGTCAAGGGTGAAGGTGTGGGAGGCCGAAGCCGACGCAGTACCTGAGAGAGCAGACTCACCAGCACCTGAGGAAGCAGACGCACGAGCACCTAGAGCAGCAGCCTTGCTAGCACCTAGAGCAGCAGCCTCACCAGTACCTAGAGCAGCAGTCCCAATGCCTGGGTCGGGCGGAAAACACCGGTAACAGTCACCCTCATCACTAATAGTCACAGCATACATGGCAGCAAGAATAGCATCAAAGTCAAGGTCAAAGATAGCTACTCCCGCCCTAGACAGCTCGCCCCAGCGAGGGATCTCAGTGGCCTTAGGGAACTGGTGACGCTAAGCGTCCGTCAGGCGGCCAAAGCAGCGCTGGGTGGAGTGCGCACCCCCGCACTGCTCACCCGCGCGGTCGCTGGTGTGTATGACGTAGGTGCACGGACAAGTACCCCCACCCCGCTGGCGTGCAGTGTACCACTCACGAAGCTGCTGGGGGGGGGGGGGGGGGGGGGGGGGGGTCTCACTAGTGCACTGCTGCTGCTACCGCTGCTGCTGCTGCTGCTGGCGCTGACCACCACCGGAGCCGACCCTCTGCGCAGTGCCACCCTGACCAGCTCCACCTCCTCCACGGCCGCCTCCTCCACCGCCGCCACCGCCTTCACCTCCACTGCCGCCACCGATGCCTCCACCCCCGCCACCACCCCCACCGACACCCCCACCCCCTCCGCCGCCTCCACCGCCGCCTCCACCGCCCCCGCTAGCTCCTCCAGCGCCCCTGCCCCCCTTGCCCTTGCCAGGGCGGCGTCTCTTGCTAGGGGTAGACGCCGCACCCACCGACTTAAGACCAACGAGGTCGGCCGCAGCAGCAGAGGCAACAGAGGGCAAGAGAGGAGAGGGGGAGCACCCCTCAAAGACAGGGGTGCGAGGGTCACCACGAGAGGCTCCTACAGCAACTATGCTCTTCTCTGCTGCTAGGAGGCGCTCCTCGAGGAGGTCAACGGTGAGGGTGGTGGGGCAAACAGAGAGAAAGTGGTCCCTTACCGGGCGAAGGGTGTCAGGGAGGCGGGTGACTATGTAGTAGAGGGTGATGTACATAGGAGGGGGGGGGGGGGGGGGGGGGTCCTTGGTGCAGAACCTTGCGGGAAGGGCAGCGCGGTAGCGAATCTCACTAGTGCGAAGGTGCGTAATGAGGTCAGCGTCTGTGGGAAAAGCTGCGAGGTCAGGGTAGAGGTACTGCAGGATGAGGCGGCTAAGTGCAGTAGTGGCAGGGGAAGAGTAGCGTGCAACTACAGCGTCGTACAAGGTCTTAGCACTCTTTTACTGACTAAAGTGCGCACGCTCAGAGGTAGGCAAGTGGCGACGCACAGCAAGACGTGCAACAGCATCGCGTGTGGCCCACTGTGAGCGAACAGTGGCGTCAGCATCAGCAGCAGGGGCAGGAGAGGCACCAGAAGTGAGGTCAAAGAGGGAGAGACCGTCTGCCCTATCGCACTGTAGGAAAAGCTGGAGGTCATCTACCTAGACGTCAAAGTCAATGGCCCGACCCTCAGCGTCGAAAGCGAGGACACTGGGGGTAGCCATAACAGCAGTAGACTAGCAGCGTGAGCAGTAGGCTAAGGGCAGTGTAGTGGTAGAGGTGCCGCTCTTACCGGACAGGGCGGCTCGAGCAGCTCGGCGGCTCGGCAGCAACTGCAGCTTGGTGGCTCGTGCGGCTCGGATGGCTCGGGCGGCTCGGCAGCAGCGGCAGCTCGGCAGCATAGCGGCAACGGCGGCTCGGCGGCACAGCGGCAACGGCGGCTCGGTGGTGACGGTGGGGCCGTGAAGGGCGGCAGAGCCGCTGAAGGGACAGCGGGAGGGCCGGGTGGGGCGGCGACGAGGCCGCTAAGGGCGGCGGCGGGGCCATGAAGGGTGGCGGCCGGCGCCGCGAGGGTGGGGCCGCGGGGTCGCTAGGGTAGGGCGACGGGGCCGGTAGGGGCGTCGCCTGGGCCGGTAAGAGCGGCGCCGGGGCCGCGAGGGTGGGGCGATGGAGCCGCGAGGGCGGCTCGAAGAGGTCGCGAGGGCGGCGCAAAGGGGCCTCGAGGGCGGCGCGATGACGCCGCGAAGGCTGCGCGGCGGGGCCGCGAAGGCGGCACGACGGGGCCGCGAAGGCGGCGCGACGGGGCCGCGAAGGCGGCGCGACGCAAGGGGGTCGCGAGCGCGGCGCGACGGGGCCGCAAGGGCAGCGCGACGCGGCGGGGCCGTAAGGGCGGCGCGACAGGGCCGCTAGGGGCCGAGAGAGAGGGGAGCGCGACTCGGGCAGGAGCTGAGTGCGCTCCGGGTAGGAAAAAAAAAAACGGTGGGCCCTAGCAACAGTTCCCACGAGGGAACCTGCTCGATACCATGAGAAAACTGAAACGAGAAAAAAAATGACTAAGGGAAAGTTGGGTACAAGTACAAACCCTAGGAAGCTGTACCCCATATGTGCTACCCCACTATAGCCTACAGCAGCTACGTCATATAAATCTGACAGGCACTGGCGGCTAAAACAGCCGCAAAGAAGATTCTCGCCTTCAACGTCATTGACACGGTGATCCGCACCGTGGCTGAGCATCTCGGTCGAAGTGGGCCATGGCATCAGCGGTTCATGGGGCTGCAGGAAGTCTTCACCTCCACCTCACTGGAGCTGCAAGGGATCCATGCAGTCCGTTGGCTTTCGCGGGGCGACGCAGTGCTCAGACTCGACGCCGTCCTTCCGGCTCTCATCGTGATGTTGAAGGAGTGGGACGCGACGCTCTATGCGCTGGTGACGAGCTACAGGTTTTATTTCCTCCTGTTTTTCATTGCAGATGTGCTTGAGCAACTGAACATACTCAACAGGGCATTCCAGCACAAAGATGTAAGCTCTGGTTCCTTGTTACTAGTTAAGTCTTTGTGCTAATGCCAGCTTCGTTTCTTCTAACCTTAGTCACTAACCACATGTCCACGTGTTTTTTTCCAGCTTGATTATGCCAGAGTGCATGCGCAGATCAAGCGTACAACATCCCACATCGAGAGCCGCTACGTCGACTGCGGAGACGACTTCGGAGGCGGCGTCAGCGAGCTGCTGTCCCCCTTCATCGCGCGCCATGGGCCTGGAGGAAACCGGGAGGTGAAGGTTGAAGGGATTGATTCGGACGGCCGACCAGCACGCTTCAAATTCGTGCTGCACGAGGACGAGCTGGAGGAGTTTGAAGGGCCCGGCACCCACGATGGCTGTGTGGAGGTTTGCACAGAGTTTGCCGAGGTGATCGTGCACCAACTGGAGCAGCGGCTTGGCGACCTGAACAGGATGTCCGGCGCTAGGCTCTTCACCCCCGACGAGTACCCGCTGGAGCGTGGAGAGAGGAACCGCAGGTGCCTCGAGTGGCTTCGGTCGCTTGTCACGTTGTTCAAGGTCGACCTGACGGATGAGATCCTGCCAGGTAAGCCATTAAGCAGCTTGGATTTAATATCAGGCTACCCCGATGCATCGTTTGTATTGCATGTCGCTTCAATTAATGTTTGAATTTGGGTTCTGAGCTTGCTCCTCCTGTTTTACCTCCTATCCCGTCAGGAATTGACAAGCGCCGCGCAGAGAAGGAGCTGCGCATGTTCACTTCGGTGCTTGCAGCATCTACCAAGGGCGAGTGCAGTTTTCACGCAGGTCTCACTGCCATGATCAAGACTCCCGACTTGCGGGAGAACTACCCCAACTTGGTGCTCCTGTGGGTGGTGGTTGCTGTACTGCTGCTGAGCACCGTGGAGTGCGAGCGGGGGTTCTCCCGCCATAACATTATTAAGTCGTGGAAGGGGCGCGCTCAAGGATGCTCGCCTGGGGGACCTTATGTGCATGAGCTTGATGGAATACGCCCCCGACTGGGATGAGATTGTGACAGTCTGGAGGAGTTACAAGAAGCGCAAGCCCCAGAGCAACGCTCCACTCCCACCTGCAGGAAAGCAACACAACAAGAAGGGCAGGGAGGCAGATGAAGAGATGGATGTAGTAGTTGACCTAGAAGATGAGCAGGATGCAGTTGACTCCGATGATGATGATGGAGTTAATGAGTAGGAGTCTAGGAGAGGAGGATTAGTAGGATGTTGTAGTGCTAGGATACATGAATAGGGTAGTTCTAGCTGGGAGCTAATCAAAGAAAGGTAGCATTTTGTATGTAGCCTTTTGCAATGTACGTTACGTAGTTCAAACAAGTCAAACGGTTCAGCAAGACAGCTAGAAAGACAATCAGACTTGATAGGCGGGTGATTCTGAATCTTCCACGCTTTTATTTTAGGGAACTCTGAACTATCAGCCTTTTTTTTTTGCAACTCTGTCAGATTCAGACTAAAAACGAATCAGACAAGCTAAAAACGAATCTGAGGGCCTGGTGCAAATCTGCTGTGACCCGAAGTCCGAATTACCAGTCAAGGGCGCGTTTGTACTCTGAATTATCAGAGTACACTCTCAGAAAACTCTGAACTCTCGGAGTTAGCCTTTAAAAAAGTCTGAAAATTACAGAGTTGAGGCCCAAAAAACTCTGATTTTATCAGAGTACACAAGAAAAAAAATCTGAAATATCAGAGAAAAAAGTCCAAATCAGAGAAAAAAGTCTGACTTCTGAGGGCCTGCCCTGGGTTGAACCCTCTATTGGTTATCCCACTACACCCAACACATATATGACATGCATATAATTTGATACTTCATACTTGTACCCAATTCTTTCACAGTGCATTCATTCATGCCTAGACTTCTGACAAGAATTGCACTATCGAAGCAAGAGTACAATGAGCGAAGGCATGAGCAAAGAATATATAGCGAAAACTATAGCAGTACCGGTAATGCGTAAAAGTGGGGTGCGCGACGGGGCTGGCGCCGAGGTTGGGAAATGTTGAGGCGGAGGTCCGGAGCGCGGGTTACCAACCGAACCGTGATGTTGGGTCGCATCGTGAATAGTTGCGGGAACAGTGTCGAGGCTGTTGGGCTGAAAGCCCCTTAGTCCTTTCTCCCCTGGTTTCATTTTGATTGTTGTCAGTTGCGCCATTAACCGACTTTGACTTACACTGTCTGTTGCTTGATACATGCTCTTCAGGTGGTTGTACGCGAGCTCCGCGGAGTTGCCGTAACCTCGGTAGGTCCTTATGTTCTGCTGTTGAGTCGGGGTGATATTTCTCAGTAGGATCGTGTACGCCATCATTGACTGATAGGTGTACTGCTGCTTCTCGTACTGTGTGCCGTTTGTTGGATATGGCAGAGTCCCGTCGAAGAACCCGAGTATCTGCGCGCCTTCTATCATCAGTTCAAACTCGAATGACCAGGTGAAGAAATCCTTTCCATCGAAAGGTCTTGACGTCTGCATCTTCAGAACATGTGCGAACTGCGACTGAACTTGCAGTGCGTCCAGTTGTTTTTCTTGTCCATGTGAGGGATGTGGTTGTGGCATGAAGCTAATGGATCTGCGCTCGTACGGAGCAAAGGTAGGTTGTTGTTGCTGGTTTCCCCGTGCATATGATGAGCCGTCGAGACTCATGGGTGTTGCTCCGTTGTTGTTGCTGTTGTGTGATTGCGCAGGTCCTCCTTGTTGATGCTGCTCGTAGAAGGACATGAAGGAGAAGAATTCCTCCATCATGCTTGGATCGAAGCCCACGCCTTGGTTTGCGGGAGTTTCAGTAGACCAAGCTGCCGGTCTCGTTGTTGTTCCTTCCTCTGTCTGTAGGCCAGAGGCAGGAGGTGGAGTAGGAGTAGTACCGGGAGAGTCGTTGGAGGAGCTCCTCTCCTTTCTAGTAGACATATCTTCTTGGTGTATTAAGTATTGAGGAGAAATAATTTAACTCTAACCTGCTCTAATACCATGTTGGGCTGAAAGCCCCTTAGGATCTTTGGTAGAGTTAAAGTCTTTTGTGAAGTGATGTAGTAGCGGAAGCGTTTTGAGTAAAGTCCTTGAACCACCTTGCGCTGGTATGTGAGGGCAAAGTAAGTTAATTAAAGCAAAGAGATACAAGACTATATATATGAATACAGAGAATATGAAGATACATAATTATAACTACTTTACTGTTGCATTTCGATACAGTGCGACTCGGGCAACTGCTCAATGTCGAGTCAGTTCTGTGTCCTTGCTGTTGCGCTGTATTTGTCATGTCAAAGGTCGCTGACCTTTGACTTTCGCTTAACCTCCAGCGGTTACATCAACCTCCAGGGTTGACTCGCTGGTGCTTCGATATGCGCTGCTTCGCTTGTGTCTTGGTGTTTCGACACGACAGAGGCGCTTAGGACTGTTTGTTCCCAACACTCCCCTTTGCTTCTGGAGTGTCGCAGATGGTGACGTGGCTTTGTCCAGTCAGCAGCATGCAGTACTCGAACTTCTGTTTTCCGAGCTTCTTGGTCAAGTAGTCAGCTGCGCCATCTCGGACGTGGGACAGTAGGATAGTTCGAGTTTCCCCTTCTCGATCTCGTCTTTCACGAAGAAATATCGCAGAGCGATATGCTTTGTTCTGTTCGCGAATCCGCTTTTGTTGGCGATGCAAATAGCAGAATGGTTGTCACAGAACAGAGTGAAGTTGGGTAACTCGGCTAACTTCGCTTCTTCCAGCATCTCGCGAAGATAGAGTCCTTTCTTGGTGACTGAGCAGAGTGCAATATATTCTTCTTCAGCTGACGAGAGAGCGATTAGTTCCTGCTTGCTCGATTGCCAGGAGATCGGTCCGATAGGTTCGAGGCGGTAGATGTAGCCAGTGCGGGAGCGCCTATTGTCTGAGTCGCCAGCGTGATCGGCGTCGACGTAGCCTATTAATTTCGTCGGTGTAGTTGTGTTCTTGTAGTATGTCAGACCGATCGTTGAGGTGCTAACGAAGTAGTGGAGAGCGCGGTCGAGTTCCGCCAGGTGTTCTGCTTCAGGTCTTTTGAGGTAGATGGCGAGTTGACTTGCGGAGTAGGATAGATCTGGGCGGCAGGTGACGGCTGCGAAGAGAAGGCAGCCCAGCTTTCTCTGGTAGTCGCGTATCCCGGAGGTCCCTCTCTAGCTCCCCTTCAAACCAGGTGGTGATGTCATCGGTAGAGCCGATGTAGAGCAAGTCGTCTACGTAGACGATCAGCAGAATGTAGTCGGTGTTTTTGGTGAGTCGGTACATCCCTTGGTCGTGAGGCAGTTGGCGGAATCCGATGCGAGTGAGGCGAGCGTCTAGGAGCTGTTGCCATAGCCGCGGGGCTTGCTTGATTCCGTAGAGCGATTTTAGCAATTGACAGACTTGGTTAGGTTCCCCGTGGGTACCGTGTGGAAGCTCGACGAAGATTTCCGCGTCGACGGGTGCGTAGAGGAACGCGTTGGCAACATCGATTTGCCGTAGTTTCTTCTTCTTTATAGCGGCGATCGCGAGGAGAATTCGAAGTGAGGTATTGTTGAAAATAGAACGAGAATGAATGAACTATGAATGAAGTGAGTACAAATAGCAAACCCTAACAGGGTTGTACCCCCTATGGGATACCCCACTACAGCCTACACAATAGTATAAGCTATATATATGTTCTAACACACCCCCATAGGCAAAGTGGGGGAGAACAAGGGGTCACAAGACCAGTCAAGCAAGACAAAGCAAAGCTCAGGGTGGATCACAAAGTCACCACACAGTCCGAGCACAAGAGCAAGGCCAAAGGCCAGTTCACATGCAAGAGTACAGACATATATATAAAGCTAGACAAGCAAGAGCAGGTATATATATGTCAACGTACAAGTAAGAGGAGAGCAAGTAAGGCAAGACAGGCACAAGACCCAGCTGGGTGCAAAAGCGCTGATGGTCACAAGGCGCGAGTGCCTTGGTGAACACATCAGCAGTGCTGGCCTCAGAGGCCACGTACGCAAGCCGCAACTGTCCACGCTGCTGCAGCTCACGAGCAAGGAAGTAGCGAAGAGCAATATGCTTCGTTCTGTGCTCCAGACGCTGCTCTCGACACAAGGCCAGCATGGCCTTGTTGTCTACGTACAGCACTGGAGGAGAACGAGGCGGCTCTCCAAGGTCAGACAGCAGGTAGGTGAGCCAGCGAAGCTCCTGTGCAGCCATGGCCCCAGCGTAGATCTCAGCCTCACAACTGGAGCTGAGAACCGAAGACGAGCGAGTAGCCCGCCACGAGACAGAGCCGGAACCAAGACTGAAGGTGTAACCCTGTGACGACCGCTGCGTAGCCTGGTCGTCAACCCAAGAAGCGTCCGCGTGACCTGTAAGGACCACTGGACTCCGCCCTCCAAGCACTAGCCCCATGCCCGAGGTACTGCACAGGTAGCGCAACACCCTCTTCGCTGCAGCCATGTGCTCTGGTTGGTGTCTCCCAGGAGCAACATAGCGTGCAAGAATGCTCAGAGGGTATGCAAGGTCAGGTCGTGTGCAGGTCATCAGGTACATGAGGCAGCCAACAAGCTCTGGGTACGGGCCACTCGACTCTACGGACTCATCCGAAGGCAGAGCTGAGAGCGAGTGGCGAGTAGACAGAGGAGTGGCCTGAGGCGAGGAGTACGTGAAGCCGAAGCGCTGAAGGACCTGCTGCACCATGTGTGACTGAGTCAAGGTAATGGTGCGGCGTGCTCTGTCCCGAGTGATCTGCAAGCCAAGGTAGCTGCGCAGTTCACCCAGGTCTGTGCACGTGTGTCTCTTCAGCAGCTCGGACTTCACGTAGGCGAGTCCAGCAGTGTCCGCTGTGGCAAAGACCAAGTCGTCAACGTACACGAGGATGTAGAACGGCGGCAGTGAAGTGTCGGTGCGCAGAAACAGCGACGGGTCAGCAGTAGAAGGAGCAAACCCAAGAGCCGCAAGCGTAGTCCTCAGTGTGTCGTGCCACTCACGCGGTGCCTTGCGGAGACCGTAGACTGGCCGTCGGAGGCTCCACTGGGTGCCAGGAGGGAAAGTCCCAGTGAAGCCAGGTGGACGGCGCAGCCAGATCTCCTCGTGCAGGCTACCCTGCAGGAACGCAGTGCTGAAGTCGAGAGAGTGAAGCTCGTAGTCGCGCTGAGCGGCTATGTGTAGCAGCACCCGAAGAGTGGTCATCTTCGGGGTGGGAGAGAAGGTCTGAAATTAGTCAACTCCCTGCCGCTGACTAAAGCCACGAGCGACGTACCGCGCCTTGAAGACAGGTGGAGAGCCTGGCGGCCGCTTCACCCTGAAGATCCACATGCCACTGACGATATTCGCCCCAGGAGGGGGAACCGCGTCAACGTATGTGCCTGTGGACTTCCAGGAAGCCATCTTTGCATCCATAGCTGCCTGCAACTGAGAGGAGTAGGGACCCTCTACGGCCTCCGCGTAGGAGCGCGGAGTCGGGATGTCTAGTGCATCCGGGTCTCCCTCAGGAGCAAGCAGTACAGACGCGAGATGAGGTGAAGCAGCAGCTAGACACTGTAACTCCTCCTGCCTGTCCTCTAGGACGTCCGTGCCAAGAGCACACTCACCCCCGACGGACGGAGGACATACAGACGCAGCCTCAGCAACAAGGCTAGCAGCGTAGTCTAGACGACAGCGAGCAGCAAAGTCGACGAGCTCAGCGAGAAGAGCAGACGCAGCAGTGCACTCAAAAGAGGGGTCAGTGACGAAAGTAGCAAGGAGACGCGTGACAGTAGGACTGGCAGCACGAAGGGAGTCCGACTCAGGGTAGGCAAGCGCAGGAAGAGAGGACTCAGAAGGAGAAGGCAAAGGGGCACGCAGAGGAGCAGTGGACGGACGCAGAGACATCCGGTGCGTGCTAGGGACAGGAGGAGGACGCTGACGCGAACCGCGACCACTAGCGCGAGCAGCACGAACAGGCGACGCGGGACGAGACGCAGGCTCACGACGCTCAGCAAGAACTCCAATAGGACCAGTGTAAGGAGAGGGAGCAGGCAGTGGGGAGGAAGGCTCCAACAGTGACTGCGACTGGACAGGCTGTGGACACTCTACCGGAGGAGAAAGACCAAGAACCTGCTGCAGGAGCGGAACGAAGTACGGCCGAGGCCGCGCTGCAGCTCCAGACTCAGCAGGGACAGCACCAGCACCCTCAGCGGCAGGACCTCCAGCAGCACCAGCAGCAGAACCACCTCCAGGACAGACAGCTGGAGTCTCCGCACCAACACCTCCAGCAGCTCCAGCTCCAGTAGGTCCCGCAGGCCCAGCAGCTCCGGAACCGGCGGCCCCAGCACCCTCGACGGTCGAGGAAGCTCCAGCTCCGGCAGTACGCCTCCAGCGGCGAGCAAACCACTCGCGCAGCTCCTGTGGAGAGAGGGGCTCCCGCCGAGATGCAGCACCACGAGAAACCCCAGGCTCAGCAGCCCCAGACGCAGCACCCCTAGGCTGAGCAGCTCCAGACGTAGCACCCCCAGGTTCAGCAGCTCCAGACCTAGCACCCCCAGGCTCAGCAGCTCCAGACTCAGCACCCCCAGACTCAGCACCCCCTAGCTCAGCAGCTCCAGGCGCAGCAACCCCCGGCTCAGCACCCCCAGGCCCAGCACCCTCCGCAGTAGCACCCCCAGGCTCGGCACCCCTGCGCACAGCACCCTTAGAGTCAGCACCCCCAGGCTCAGCACCCGAAGCAGCACCAGATCCACCAGTAACCTCGACCGGGTCAACTGCGTCTACCTGGGACACACCTGAGGGGGCAGGAACCTGAGGGGGGAGGGGGTCTACCGGGGGGGGAACCGGCACAAGGAAGTCTGGTGGCGGGGGAAGGGAAGGAGTGCGGTAGGGGAAGAGGCGGTAGAAGGGGACTGACTCGTCGAACGTGACGTCCTGGGAGGACAGAACACGACGAGAGGAGGGGTGGTAGAACTGCCACCCTGGAGCGTCAGGGGGGAAGCCAAGGAAGACACAGGGAGCAGCACGAGGGGACAGCTTGTCCGCAGACAAGTCGCGGACAAACGCCGGAGATCCCCAGACACGGAACGCAGACGCATCGCCAACCTTCCCCGTTCACAGCAAGACTGGGGACATCGCAGGCCGAGAGACCCTGGGGTGAAGGTTGAGCTGATGCGCCGCGTACCGAACCGCAAACGGCCACAGAAAATGGGGGGCAGCCGCATGCATCATGGACGTACGAGCGACATCCATGACCATGCCAATGCGGCACTCAGCAATCCCATTTTGCTGTGGAGAGTCCGGAAGCGTGAAGGTCTGGCGGATCCCCCGTGCACGAGAGTAGTCTCGCAGAAGGCGAGAGGAGAACTCCCCGCCTCTGTCCGAGTGCAGACGCAGAACAGGAAAGTCCGAGCCGAAGCTCCTCCTGAGCTGGAGACAAGCCTCGCGGATCCAGTCGATCAGCACCTCAGTGACAGCACCCTTGCTGCGCAAGGGGAAGACTGTGGTGTAACGCGAGTAGTCGTCAACCACCAACAGGAAGTAGCGCTCGTGACCCTGCCCACGGACGGGGGCTGGGCCCCACACGTCCATGTGAAGTGTCTGCAGAGGAGCCTCTGTCAGGGGGAACTGGGAGGAGTGAGGAGCAGCCCGGAGGCGCCCCTCGACACAGGGGACACAGGAAGGTCCTGGCCCCGAAGGAAGGGAAGGAAGAGACTGGGGAAGACCAGAGACAAGGACACGGGAAGCCATGCTCCGAAGACGGGGCAAGGAGGGGTGGCCCAGATGGTGGTGCCACAGGAGGGTCTCGTAAGACAGGAGGCGACACGAACAGGGGGCAGACTCAGGGCCAGACCGGGACGCAGCAGCAAACACCTGACCTGACGCAGCTACCTGACCAGACGCAGGGACAGGAGGAGACGTAGTGGTCAGGGTGTAGAGGCTCGACCCCGGCCGACGCGAGAACGTGGCCAGGTGCCGGCCTGTGCACGCGTCCATGCAGTGGGTCACCCGCTGACTCGCAGGAGTGAACTGGTGAACCCCCGCATCCAGTAGGTCCGCACCACTCACCAAGTTCGTCGAGAACGAAGGAAGGTACAGACCAGACAGGGTGCCCGAGGGGGCAGCCGGACACGGGAGGACAGTGGAAAAGTGAGAGAGGACAGAACCCCCAGAGGGGTCAACCAGGGAGACTGCAACCGGCCGACCAAGCGGCGTGAGGGTGGTGCGGTCTCGAAAGAAGGAGCGAGAAGCCCCGGAGTCAAGTGTGAAAGTGAGGGAGGACGAAGGCGACGCAGTACCTGAGAGCGCAGTCTCACCAGTACCTGAGAGCGCAGACGCACTGGCACCTAGAGCAACAGCCTCACAAGCACCTAGCGCAGCAGTACCAATGCCCGGGTCGGGCGGGAAACAATGGTAAAAGTCACCCTCCTCACTAATAGTCACAGCATACATAGCAGCAAGGATAGCATCAAAGTCAAGATCAAAGATCGCTACACCACCCCTAAGAAGCTCATCCCAGCGGGGGATCTCACTAGCCTCGGGGAACTGTTGACGCCAAGCGTCCGTCAGGCGGCCAAAGCACCGCTGGGTGGGGTGGGCACCCCCACATTGCTCACCCGCGCGGTCGCCGGAACGAAGGACGTAGGCACAGGGACCAGCACCCCCACCCCTCTGACGCCGAGCGTACCACTCACGGAGCTGCTGGGGCAGAGGGATGTCCCGCGAACGCTGCTGCTGCTGCTGCTGCGGGCGCTGACCACCACCACGGCCGCTCCGCTGCTGGGTACCACCCCGACCAGCTCCACCCCCTCCGCCACCAGCGCCTGCTCCTCCGCCCCCTCCACCGCCTCCACCGCCACCGCTGCCGCCACCACCACCGCTGCCGCCACCTCCGCCGCCTCCGCCGCCGCTGCCACCACTACCACCACCACCCCCTCCACCACTCCCGCCGCCACCCCCACTCCCTCCGCCGCCTCCACCGCCACCTCCACCGCCCCCTCCAGCTCCACCCGCGCCCTTGCCCCCCTTGCCCTTGCCAGAGCGGCGTCGCCCACTAGGGGCAGACGCCGCGCCGACCGACTCAAGACCAAGCAGGTCTGCAGCAGCAGCAGAGGCAACAGAGGGCAGTAGGGGGGAAGGAGAGCACCCCTCAAAGATGGGGGTGCGAGGGTCACCCCGGAAGCTCCTACAGCGACGATGCTCTTCTCCGCCGCGAGGAGGGCCTTCTCGAGGAGGTCGACAGTGAGGGTGGTGGGACAGACTGCGAGAAAGTGGTCCCTGACTACGCGAAGAGAGTCAGGGAGGCGCGCGACTACGTTGTAGAGAGTGATGTACATGGGGGGGGGGTTCTTGGCGCAGAACTCAGCAGGAAGGGCGGCGCGGTAGCGAGTGTCACTGGTGCGGAGGTGCGTAATGAGGTCAGCGACAGTGGGAAAGGCAGAGAGGTCAGGAAAGAGGTAGGGAAGAATGAGACGGCTCAGTGCAGCAGTGGCAGGGGAAGAGTAGCGCGCAACTACAGCGTCGTACAAGGTCTGAGCACTCTTGTACTGACTAAAGTGCGCGCGCTCAGAGGTAGGGAGGTGGCGACGCACAGCAAGACGTGCAGCAGCATCGCGGGTAGCCCACTGAGAGCGCATAGTGGGATCAGCATCAGCAGCAGGGGCAGGAGAGGCGCCAGAAGTGAGGTCAAAGAGAGAAAGGCCGTCTGCTCTATCGCACTGCAAGAACAGCTGCAAGTCGTCGACCCAGACCTCAAAGTCAATGGCGCGACCCTCAGCGTCAAAAGCGAGGACACTAGGGGTAGCCATGACAGCAGTAGATGGTCTCACCAGACAGGACGGGTCGGGCAGCGCACAGCAACACAGTAGCTCAACCGGCTCAGCAGCAACAGCAGCCTCACAGGACCAGCGGCTCGGCTCCTTAGGCGGTGCAGGCGGCTCGGACGACTCGGGCGGCTCGGGCGGCACGGGCGGCTCGGGCGGCTCGGGTGGCTCGGGCAGTCAGCGGCACAGGCGGCTCGGGCGGCTCGGCTCCTCAGCGGCGGAGACGGCTCGGGCGGCTCAGGTCGCACGGCGGCTAGCGGGCGGCGTGGGTGCCGGGACAGCGTCATGCAGCAGGGACGGGAGAGCGCGGCCGGGACGGGCGGCACAGGGCGGCTCGAGACCGGGTCGGGCGGCGCGTGGGCGGTGAGGGGCCGGGACGGGCGCGCGTGGGTGGCGAGGGGCCGGGACGGGCGCTCGAGGGCGGCGAAGGGCCGGGACGGGCTCGCGTGGGTGGCTAGGGGCCGGGACGGGCGCGCGGGGGTGGCTAGGGGCCGGGATGGGCGCTCGAGGGCGGCTAAGGGCCGGGACGGGCTCGCGTGGCGGCTAGGGGCCGGGACGGGCGCGCGTGGGTGGCTAGAGGTCGGGAGGGGCGGCGCGCAGGTGGCGAGGGGCCATGACGAGCGGCGCGCGGGCGGCTGTGGGCTTGAACGGGCGGCGCGTGCGCGTCTAGGAGCCCTGACGGGCCGCGCGCGGGCGGCTAGGGGCCTGAACGGGCGGCGCGCTGGCGGCTAGGGGCCTGAACGGGCGGGCGCGCTGGCGGCTAGAGGCCTGAACGAGCGGCGCGCTGGCGGCTAGGGGCCTAAACAGGCGGGCGCGCTGGCGGCTAGGGGCCTGAACGGGCTGCACGCGAGCGGCTAGGAGCCCTGACGGGCGGCGCGTGGGCGGCTAAGGGCCAGGACAGGCGGCGCGCGGGCGGCTAGGTGCCTGAACGGGCGGGGCGCGGGCGGCTAGGTGCCAAGACGGGCAGTGCGCGGGCGGCAAAGGACGGCTCGCGCGGGCGTCTGGGGGGCCGCAGGGCAGGCCAAAAAGGAGAGAGCAAGGGCCCAGAGCGCGCTCCGGGCAGAAAAAAAAAGTTTTGAAGGTGGTGGGCCCTAAGCACAGTTCCCGAGGGGAACCTGCTCGATACCATGTTGAAAATAGAACGAGAATGAATGAACTATGAATGAAGTGAGTACAAATAGCAAACCCTAACTGGGTTGTACCCCCTATGGGATACCCCACTACAGCCTACACAATAGTATAAGCTATATATATGTTCTGACATGTATGTCGGCTGACCGGGGCGAATGTCTCGGTGAAGTCCCGTCCGTGCTCCTGATCGAATCCACGCACAACCCAGCGTGCTTTGGATTTCTCAATTGTGTCGTCTGCCTTCGTTTTGATGCGGAAGACCCATTTCCCGATGAGAATGGTCTTATTCCTTGCCACGCTGATGGGAACAACTTTCCAGGTGTTCCGTTCCTCCAGCGCTTTTAATTCTCTCTCCATGGCTTCACGCCATTTTTCCCTATGTTCCCCCCCCAGAGCCTGCTGAACCGTCGCAGGCTCTTTAGGGAGAGCGCTGCCGTGGATTGCGGTGACGAGGCCGAGAATCTGCAGTCCAGTCTGTGAGTAGCGGGGAAGAGTTGTGTCCTCGGGATAAGTTGCTTCATCTCCCGCTTCTCGGTCGGGTATGAAATTCGGCCCTAGCCGTTCTGCTTCGTTGGTGTCGACTGTCGCAGGTGTTACGTAACCATTGTCGGCGAAGTGGTAGAAGACTTCGGCGTTGGCGCTTTCGCGAGGGTCGTCTTCGTCCATGGGGACGTTGACGGAGCAGAACGGGAGAGGTCCGGCTTCTTCTGATGCGTTGTCCACATTCTGCTCGTCCCAGTCTGCTTCGTCCGCTGCTGAGGCGAAGGCTCGGTCACCACGAAAACCACCTGTGGGATCTTGATTTTCGTGCAAGTTGGCGAGGTACGTCTGAAGCGTGAATCGTTCGTAGAAGATTACGTCACATGCTGCTACTGTTTCCTTGGAGTGGACGTCGAAGATTTTCCACGCGTTGTAGTTCTTTTCGATGCCGAGTTGTAGTCCCCATTGTGCGCGTTGTGAGAATCTTCCCGCTCGTGCTTCTGGGGGTCGGTACTGTACCATGCACCCGAAAACTCGTAACATTTTTGTGCTGCCCTGTTTCCCTGTCCACAGCAGATGCGGTGACGCGTTGTTCGGAAGTGAAGACGACGACATCAAGTTGTGCAGCATGACAGCGTGGTCCATTGCTGTAGGCCACTAGTGGTTGGGTAGCCGCATTCCACGTAATAGTTTGCGCATGCTGTTATGCAGAGTTCTGTTCATTCTTTCTGCCACACCTTGGTGCTGATGGGCGTAGGGAAGAGAGAGGAGCTGCTTGATTCCTCTTTCCGCCAGGTACTACTTGAATCGCTGAGAGGTGTATTCTCCCCCTCCGTCTGACTGGAAGCTTTTCAGTTGTGCGCCCGACTCTCTCTCTGCTACAGGTAGCCAGGCAGCGAAGGCTGCGAGTGCCATGTCGCGGCTGGGTAGGTTTAGGTGCCAGACGTAACGGGCGGCGGCGTCGATGAAGGTGATCGTGTAGTTGTATGTAACTTGTCCTGGTTCCCAATTGAACAGGATATCGCTGTACACTTTCTCGAGTGGTGCGTACGCGGGTGCGCTCGGGTTGTGGTGAGGAATGTACAAGCTGTGTGGTAAGTCGGCTTCGGGACAGGTAAGGCAAGTTCCTCGTGCCCGTTGAAGTTCTCTGCCGTCGGGTAGTAGTAATGAGTCCTTGTCAAGGACTCCTGCTCTTACTGTGTTGTTTAACACAGTGTTGCTTGGGTGTCCCATGCGTGCGTGCCAGATATCTTCGGAGGCGCGGTGTCCGGGTGAGCGTCGATATGCGTCGGAGTTGGAGTAGAAGATGGCGACGAAGTTTGCACTTCTGTGGACTTCCCGTTGAGTCGGATTTAGCTGCTGTGCGGGTGTTGGTGGTGCTTCGTCAACTAGGACTGGTGTCGGTGTTCTTGCTGCTGCTGACGATGTTTCTGCTGTTGCCGATGATGTCTCTGCTGCCGATGATGTTTCTGCTGCTGCCAATGTTGTCTCTGCTGCTGCCGATGTTGTCTCTGCTGCTGCCGATGATGTTTCTGCTGCTGCTGAATGTTGTATTGTTACTAACGCACGTTTTCGTTCTGCTTCAGGGATGGTATGTGAATACCAGAAGCCTTCCGGACTTAGTCGGGGTCGAGATCCGACGGGTGTGTCCAGGATGTGAAGGTCTGGAACGAAGTTGAGGACGAAGACATTATTCTTCAGGATCGCTTTTCCGATGTAGAGGCCGCCCTTCCCGTGGTACAGCTTGAACTCCTGGGTGGTACTGTTGGCTTCCAGATGTATGCCTTTCGCCATCAACTGACTGACGCTCAGTAGGTTGTAGCCGAGTCCTTCAGCTATCAGGACTTTTGACATTTGTAATACGACATTCGTCTCCCGTGACTGAAGTTGCACTACTCCTTGTCGTCGTGTGCGCAGGTTCTTATTATTGGCGACAGTGATGACGACTTCTCGTTCAAGTTGCTGCTCGCGTTGAACGAAACGTCCTGAAGAGCACATGTGTTGTCCGCAGCAACTGTCCAAGAACCATGTGTCCTTCCCGGACGGCTCGTTGGGCGATGGCGACGTACGTCGGGTTTGGTTGAAGTGACTCGCGGCGAGGCGTACTGTTGTCGAGTTGTTCTTCTGGTGAGTAATATGGTGGTGACTCAGTTGTGCAGGAGTCACTCAGCCTTGCCATGCAGCTGACGATGTTTCTTGTTTCTTTTGCAGGTTGTCCTGTTGAAGTTGTTGAGACGTGGACTGAAGTTGTCGGGTTTGCTTGCGTTGAAGTGACTAGGCTGCTTGAAGGACGAAGTTGGCGTTGTCGATTTGGGCAGTGCGTACGAGGATGCCCTGAAGTTTTGCAGATGTGGCAGAACGGAGGTACTGGCTTCAGTTGTTGCTACCGATTGTTGTTGTTGTTGTAGCGTCGCTGGGTGTGGAACGCGAACTCTGGTGCTCACGTCTTCCCTTTATGTCGTTCTTCTTGCAGGTCCATGTCTTGCTGCTCTGCATGGATTTCGGCGCAGAGCGCTGCTTCGGAGATTCTCCCGTGAGCTCGGAGGATGGCCTTTGTGGCGCGCCATTGAGGACCGACGCCGCCGATGATGACTGTCACGAAGGCGTCTTCAGAGATCGACCCTCCGCATCGAAGAAGCTTGTCGCGCAATTCGCGACATCGACTGATATATGCCAGTCCTTTCTCCCCTGGTTTCATTTCGACTGTTGTCAGTTGCGCCATTAACCGACTTTGACTTACACTGTCTGTTGCTTGATACAGGCTCTTCAGGTGGTTGTACGCGAGCTCCGCGGAGTTACCGTAACCTCGGTAGGTCCTTATGTTCTGCTGTTGAGTCGGGGTGATATTTCTCAGTAGGATCGTGTACGCCATCATTGACTGATAGGTGTACTGCTGCTTCTCATACTGTGTGCCGTTTGTTGGATATGGCAGAGTCCCGTCGAAGAACCCGAGTATCTGCGCGCCTTCTATCATCAGTTCAAACTCGAACGACCAGGTGAAGAAATCCTTTCCATCGAAAGGTCTTGACGTCTGCATCTTCAGAACATGTGCGAACTGCGACTGAACTTGCAGTGCGTCCAGTTGTTTTTCTTGTCCATGTGAGGGATGTGGTTGTGGCATGAAGCTAATGGATCTGCGCTCGTACGGAGCAAAGGTAGGTTGTTGTTGCTGGTTTCCCCGTGCATATGATGAGCCGTCGAGACTCATGGGTGTTGCTCCGTTGTTGTTGCTGTTGTGTGATTGCGCAGGTCCTCCTTGTTGATGCTGCTCGTAGAAGGACATGAAGGAGAAGAATTTCTCCATCATGCTTGGATCGAAGCCCACGCCTTGGTTTGCGGGAGTTTCAGTAGACCGAGCTGCCGGTCTCGTTGTTGTTCCTTCCTCTGTCTGTAGGCCAGAGGCAGGAGGTGGAGTAGGAGTAGTACCGGGAGAGTCGTTGGAGGAGCTCCTCTCCTTTCTAGTAGACATATCTTCTTGGTGTATTAAGTATTGAGGAGAAATAATTTAACTCTAACCTGCTCTAATACCATGTTGGGCTGAAAGCCCCTTAGGATCTTTGGTAGAGTTAAAGTCTTTTGTGAAGTGATGTAGTAGCGGAAGCGTTTTGAGTAAAGTCCTTGAACCACCTTGCGCTGGTATGTGAGGGCAAAGTAAGTTAATTAAAGCAAAGAGATACAAGACTATATATATGAATATAGAGAATATGAAGAGACATAATTATAACTACTTTACTGTTGCGGTTCGATATAGTGCGACTCGGACAACTGCTCATTGTCGAGTCAGTTCTGTGTCTTTGCTGTTGCGCTGTATTTGTCAGGTCAAAGGTCGCTGACCTTTGACTTTCGCGTAACCTCTAGCGGTTACATCAACCTCCGAGGGTTGACTCGCTGGTGCTTCGATATGCGCTGCTTCGCTTGTGTCTTGGTGTTTCGACACGACAGAGGCGCTTAGGACTGTTTGTTCCCAACAGAGGCGAATGTCGCAAGTGGTAACGGATTACTGTTGATTGCTGTTGGCGCGAATAGTGGTGTACTCGCTGAGCAGGGACGCGAAGTACCGTAAGCCCCCGGATAGAAGCGCAGGCCTCGGATAAGCGCCGGCGCTTATAAAAGGATGAGGGCGCTTATATCCGGTCCTCGATTATAAGCGCACCCCTGAAGGCTTACGGATTATAAGCGCCACCCTTTTTTTTCTAACTATAATTTTACTGAATTCATCGTAACGAAACTCAACATCTCCATTCCCACATTTTGAATTTCGATGCCCTTCACCCTCGCTCGGTTCACTGCCAGCGCGTCCAGTCAGAATGAGCTGTCGGGGGTGCACGTTGACTCATTCTGACTGTGTGTGTTGGCAGGGAATCAATCCCTGCCAACTTGCAAGCGAGATTCTCAATCGCAACCCTGTATATTTTTGACTCGATTCAACTCGCGAGAACGGGATCTACAGTTTGGTGTACAAACGAAATTTTTTATATATGCTATTATATAAGCCCCGGCGCTTATAAAAATCCTCGATTATAAGTCCACCCCCTAAAAAAACGTGTTTTTTAATAACCCCAGGGGCGCTTCTATCCGGGGGCTGACGGTAAGGAAAAGGAAATTTCCTTACAGTCAACCTAAAGTGTTGTACCCTTTAGAGGGCAACTCACTGTAGCCTATCTACAGGCACAATATATTGGAGAAGATAGAAGACAGGAGATATAAACATACGGGTATATCTACATACAGGTACAAACATAACAGGCACAACAATCAACCGAGAGATGACGGTGCATGACTACAATAAGCTCTACCCTACTGTTGGCAGTTATAGTTGTTTACAGATACATTTAACAAAAATTCCTGAGTGTATCTTAAAAGAATCCGAGGACCTGATCTCAACCTGATTCACACCACCAATTAGTTTCTCTTAACTTAACTTTCCTGTTGGTATCAACCTAATTATCTTTGTTTCTTCGTTTCACTCACTTCCGAAAGATAAGGGGTTTTCTTTCACTCAACATCCTAAGGCATGGAAATTCTCTAAGAAAGCACAGCCATCACATCCGAAGACCTGAGCACAACATATGGTGAGCCATCCTTGCCCTTGAATTCATTGCCTGCAAACTTGGCATAGAGAACAGTGGCACCATCTGCGATGTCGACAGGCTTCCTTGAACCATCCTCGCCTAGGGCACCTGGGCCAACAGCAATCACCTGAATACAAGCAAAAAGGCAGGGACACCGGAAAAAAAATGGCATGAGCGTGAGAGGCAAGGTCGCCTAAGAAGGCACACATAAATCAGTGTGCACAGGAAGATCAATTGTGTGAGGACAACAGCACAGGGTGTGGCGGTGATGGGGTGAGGGCCACTGATAACGAAACTTACCGTGCCAACGACTGGCTTCTCCTTGGCGCTCTCCGTGAGCAGCACACCGCCCGCCGTCTTGGACTCCGACTCCACCACCTGATGCCACACACCACACCACCACACCAACCCACACGCACACCCACGGACACCTCAAAAACCGCTCAGGGACTGGTCACGAGAGGCGACCAGGAGCTTGACGGAACGGGAGAGGAACATATTGCGTGACAAGCACGTGCATGAATCATTGCGAAAGCCTTCTGGCAATCATACAGCTGGTATTTTATGTGCCTGCTAACAACGTTTCGTAGCAGAGCATGAGCTTGTTCTCGTAAATGTGGTCCCACATGGAGCACACAGAGCCGTTGCGACACTAGTACTCCGCCGCGTGATGGTTGTTCACGATCGACGCCCATGCGCACCGTAACTACGCTGCCACGCGGTCGTACCTTGATGAGCATGTGGTCGTCACGCGATCGTACCTTGATGAGCACGCGGCCGTACCTTGATGAGCACGCGGTCGTTGAGCGGCTTGAGGTCGGCGATGTCGTCGGACGCCAACACGCCCACGATGTCGTCCTCCTTCAGCAGCAGGTGCGGCGCGCCGTTGAAATCGATCTCCACGCCCGCGTACTTGCTGTACACGATGCTGCCGCCCTCCTGCACTCGCCGCAACCACGCAGCGCACAGAGCGGGCAGTACGATGAGGGCTCGCGACCAACGAATGACAAGTTCCTGGTGGGGTATTCGCTGCTATTTATGCGGACTATTAGTCGAGCGACGCGAGGTGCGGAAAAGAAAACAAGGGGAGAAGGGACGTTAGGGGTCCGGGCACGAAAGTGCGAATATCGTTAGGTGAAGACCGCGCATACTCGTCCAACACAAACGTGCCTCGACACCACAGGCCGCCGGGTCAACCCCCATTTCCCCACACTGTCCCACATCCTTCCCTCACCGACCACCGCAAGAGCACGCACTCCCCAGCACTCCCCGAGGGACAGAACCCTCAACCCCGCGGCACTCACGGGCACGTCGACGGCGACCTTCTTGTCGCCCAACGTCCTGCCAGAGCCCACGGCCACCACGGAGCCGCCCTGCGGCTTCGTCTGCGACGACGTGGGCAGCAGAATGCCGCCCGAAGTGCGCTCCTCCACCTCCTGGATGCGCACCAGCACGCGGTCGCCCAGCGGCCTCAGGTTCGTGAACTGCACGCCATCGAAGCGGGCGCGCACGGGCGAGGGGAATAGATGCACGCGTCGTTAGAAGCGAAAGCGCCGATCGGATAATGCATGCAAGTACTGTACGCAGTCACGCGCAACCATCGCACGGGGAACAAGTCTTTTCCAGTGTGCGAAGCCATTTTGAGTGCGGTGGATAAGTCAGTGCGGGCGCTATAGGTTTTCCGATCAGACGTGCAGCAGTGCAGAAGACGTGCAGCAGACGCCATCTTACCGTGGGCGCTACTGTGGTGGCGGCCCTCACGACGGCTCGGCGTGCTGCCCAGGCCCTCTGCGCCAGTTGCGGCGCAGCAGTGCCCTGTGGAGCAGCGCGCAGACCAGAGAAGGAGGAGAAGGCGGACCGGTGCGAGCAGGTGGCCGCGAGGGCAGCCTCTGTCAGTGCCACGTCAGCACGAGCGAGACTGGAGCCCAGAGCAGCCATGTTGGTGCTTGTTCGAGATAGGAAGTCGACGCGCGACGTGGAGTGGGTTTGACGTGTGGGTGCAGAACAAACCAGTGCAGTGGGCGACTGGTTCGATGATGAGGCAGGAACGAAAGTAGAACTGCGAGTTGTGCGAAATTTGCAGCAAGGAGAGCAAATGGGGTTAGGGGCTGGTGGGGGGGGAGTGGTGTGTATGTGATGGTGGTAGGGGTCGGGGGGGTTGGGTGTGGGTGGCCGAGGGAGACAGGCTCTTGAAACCGAAGAGAGACATCTAGAGCAGCCAGCGTGGCCGATCGCACGATAGAGATGAAGCCGAAGAGAATGTGCAGCCACGATTACTGTGACCTCAAGAAAGCACATGCCACGTGTCCAGCGAAGTGGATACAAGGAAAAGTTTCTGGGACAACGGATGCAACATTCGAGAAGATTGTTGGGAGAAGATCATACAGGGGCCGAACAGTGCCAGAGGGGTGATCGACCAGGGGCCGAGAAGCCCGGAAATTACCAAACCGCTTCTCAAGGAGTAATTGACAGAGAGACTTCATTTATTGCACGTAATTATGCTACTAGTGGCATGTACCCGGCTCGCATTTTCGCTCGTGTGTCGTTTACCGAGCCGACTCTACCGGAAACTCTTGGGCAGCAAAAAAAAACTAAACTCATTGGGAACCTGGATGTAATTTCGGGATGGATAAACCCTAAAAAATGGACCTTCCTGGTATTTAGGGTTGATCCCTCCCGAGTCGCATCTGTTTCCGAACGGGTAATAGTTTATTTTTTTTTCTGTGGTTTCCGATTGGGTAGGTGGTATGCATCACCCAAAATATATTATGTTGTTACGTAATCACGATTTGACACGCTGAATTCAATTCCAAAAGAATGCGACGTGCGCGCTGTAGTAGTCGGCGGTCCAAACCCTCAATAAATAGTAAGAACTCAAATTTAGGTTTTTTTAGCAATTATCTTTTTTTTTTATGGTTCGGCTTGTTTGCCGAGTGTCAGAATGTTATCATCTAGCCTGTAGTGGGGTGCTCTATAGCGAATACAACCCAGTTAGGGTTTGCTATATGTACCCCAACTGCTGCTAGTGAAACTTTTCAGAACTAGCAGTAGAAAGGAAGAATGAAAAAAGGAGGAGGTTCACTAGCAAGCAGTTGGATACATATAGCAAACCCTAAGTGGGCTTTACTCACTATGGAGTACCCTACTGCAGGCTAGACAATTATAACATTCTGATACACACCCATAGCCAAAGTGGGGTGTAATCAGCACAACAAGCAAGCATAGTAATAATTCACAATTATAAGCAAACCTAGAGGCATTCACGGTGGGCAAGTGAGGAGGAGAAGGGACTGTGCGAGGATAGAAGATGGGAGACGACGGCTGAAGTTGCAGACACACGGGCAACAAGAGGTGCTGGCACAGTGGCTACCGAGGCAGCGCCCCGGACTACTGGAGTAACTGGCTCACGGGCTACGAGGAGCTACAGGAGCAACGGACCCACAGGCGACAGGCGCAGCAGACTTTCTGGGCTACCAGGAAAGTGCGCCACGGACTACAGGTGCTGCGGACGACAGGAGAGCAGCCTCCACTCAACCTCCCCCGACCGTCCCATGTGAAAATGAACGAGAATGAATGAACTATGAAAGAGTTGGGTACAAGTACTAACCCTAATAGGGTTGTACCCCTTATCGGCTACCCCAATATAGCCTACACAAAAGCATAAGCTATGATGTTCTGACACACCCCCATAGGCAAAGTGCGGGAGAACAAGGGGTCACAAGACCAGTCAAGCAAAGCAAAGCAAGCTCAGGGTGGATCACAAAGTCACCACACATTCCGAGCACAAGTTCAAGGCCACAAGGCCAGTTCACATGCAGGAGTACATATATATATAAAAGGTTAGACAAGCAAGAGCAGGTGTATGTATATTTATATGTAACAGTACAAACAAGGTCAAGAGGTGAGCAAGTGAGGCAAGGCAGGCACAAGACCCAGCTGAGTACAGAAGCGCTGATGATCACAAGGCGCAAGCGCCTTGGTGAAGATATCAGCGGTGTTGGCCTCAGAGGCCACGTACGCAAGACGCAGCTGACCACGCTGCTGCAGCTCACGAGCAAGAAAGTAGCGGAGAGCAATGTGCTTCGTTCTGTGCTCCAGTCGCTACTTCCCGACACAAGGCCATGCTGGCCTTGTTGTCTACGTACAGCACTGGAGGAGGAACGAGGCGGCTCTCCGAGGTCAGTCAGCAGGTAGGTGAGCCAGCGAAGCTCCTGAGCAGCCATGGCTCCTGCGTAGATCTCAGCCTCACAACTGGAGCCGAGAACAGAAGACGAGCGAGTAGCCCGCCACGAAACAGAGCCGGAACCAAGGCTGAAGGTGTAACCCTGTGATGACCGCTGCGTAGCCTGGTCGTCAGCCCAAGAAGCGTCTGCGTGCCCAGTGAGGACCACTGGACTCTGCCCTCCAAGCACAAGCCCCATGCCCGACGTACTGCACAAGTAGCGCAACACCCTCTTCGCTGCAGCCATGTGCTCTGGTCTGTGTCTCCCTGGAGCAACATAGCGTGCGAGAATGCTAAGAGGGTATGCAAGGTCAGGTCGTGTGCAGGTCATCAGGTACATGAGGCAGCCAACAAGCTCTGGGTACGGGCCACTCGACTTTACGGACTCATCCGAAGGCAGAGCTGAGAGCGAGTGGCGAGTAGGCAGAGGAGTGGCCTGAGGCGAAGAGTACATGAAGCCGAAGCGCTGAAGGACCTGCTGCACCATGTGTGACTGAGTCAGGGTAATGGTGCGGCGTGCTCTGTCCCGGGTGATCTGCAAGCCAAGGTAGCTGCGCAGTTCACCTAGGTCAGTGCACGTGTGTCTCTTCAGCAGCTCGGACTTCACGTAGGCGAGTCCAGCAGTGTCAGCTGTGGCAAAGACCAAGTCGTCGACGTACACGAGGATGTAGAACGGCGGTAGAGAAGTGTCGGTGCGCAAAAACAACGACGGGTCAACAGTAGAGGGAGCAAACCCAAGAGCCGCAAGTGTAGTCCTCAGTGTGTCTCGCCACTCACGCGGTGCGTGGCGAAGACCGTCGACTGGCCGCCGGAGGCTCCACTGGGTGCCAGGAGGAAAAGTCCCAGTGAAGCCAGGTGGGCGGCGCAGCCAGATCTCCTCGTGCAGGCTGCCCTTCTAGAAAGCAGTGTTGAAGTGAAGAGAGTGTAGCTCGTAGTCACGGTGAGAAGCTACGTGCAGCAGTACCCGAAGAGTGGTCATCTTCGGGGTGGGAGAGAAGGTCTGAAAGTAGTCAACTCCCTGCCGCTGACTGAAGCCACGAGCCATGTAACGCGCCTTGAAGACAGGCGGAGAACCCGGCGGCCGCTTCACCCTGAAATCCACATGCCACTGACAATGTTCGCCCCAGGCAGGGGAAACTCGTCAACGTAGGTGCCTGTGAACTTCCAGGAAGCCATCTCTGCATCCATAGCTGCCTGCCACTAAGAGGAGTAGGGACCCTCTATCGCCTCCGCGTAAGAGCGCGGAGTCGGGATGTCAAGTGCATCCGGGTCTCCCTCAGGGGTAAGCAGTATGGACACGAGATGAGGTGAAGCAGCGGCCAAGCACTGGAACTCCTCTTGCTTGTCCTCAAGGACGTCCGTGCCAAGGGCACACTCACCCCCGACGGACGGAGGATAGACAGACTCAGACTCAGCAACAAGACTGGCAGCGTAGTCTAGGCGAAAGCGAGCAGCAAAGTCGCAAGCTCAGCAACTAGGGCAGACGCAGCAGTGGACTCAAAGGAAGGGTCAGTGACAACAGTAGCAAGGAGACGCATGACAGTAGGACTGGCAGCACGAAGAGAGTCCGACTCCGGGTCGGCAAGAGCAGGAAGAGAAGACTCAGGAGGAGAAGGTAAAGGGGCACGCAGAGGAGCAGTGGACGGACGCAGGGACATCCGGTGCATGCCAGGGATAGGAGGAGGACGCTGACGCGAACCGCGACCACTAGTGCGAGCAGCACGGACAGGCGACGCAGGGCGAGACGCAGGCTCACGACGCTCAGCAAGACCTCCAGTAGGACCAGTGTAGGGAGACGGAGCAGGCAGTGGGGAGGCCGGCTGTAACTGTTACTGTGACGGGACAGGCTGTGGACACTCTAAGGTAGGAGGAGGACCAGTAGAAGGCGGGAGACCAAGAACCTGCTGAAGGAGCGGAACGAAGTACGGCCGATGCCGCGTGGTGACTCCAGACACAGCAGGGACAGCACTAGTACCCCAGCGGCAGCATCAGCACCAGCAGTACCTCCAGCTCCAGTACCTCTAGCAGCACCAGTAGCACCCCCATCCGGACCGCCTCCAGGACCGATAGCAGTAGCCTCCGCGCCAACACCCGCAGCAGCTCCAGCTCGAGAAGTACCCGCAGGCCCAGTAGCTCCAGTATTCCCAGTATGAGCACCTCCGGGACCCGCGGCACTAGCATTCTCAGCAGCAGCAGACCCTCCAGTACCCGCAGAAACCTCCAGCTCCACCAGCTCGCCTCCAGCGCCGGGCAAACCACTAACGCAGCTCCTGTGGAGAGAGTGGCTCCCGGCGAGACGAAGCACCCGGAGAACCGCCAAGCACAGCACCGCCAGACGCCACACGAGCAGGCCCAGCTCCCTCAGGCTCAGCACCTCCAGGCTCAGCACCTCCAGGTGTAGCACCCCTAGGCGTAGCACCCCCAGGCTCAGCACCCCCAGGCTCAACACTCCCAGGCTCAGCACCCCCAGGCTCAATACCCCCAGGCTCAGCACCCCAAGGCTCAACACCCCCAGGCTCAGCACCCCCAGGCTCAGCACCCCCAGGCGTAGCACCCCCACACTCAGCACACCCAGAGTCAGCACCCCCAGGCTCAGCACCCCCAGCAGCACCAGAGTCACCAGCGACCTCGACAGGCTCAACAGCGTCTATCTGGGACACATTTGAAGGGGCGGGGCCCTGAGGGGGGAGGGGGTCTACCGGGGGGGGACCTGGCA